TAGTAGTAGTAGTAGTAGTAGTAGTAGTAGTAGTAGTAGTAGTAGTAGTAGTAGTAGTAGTAGTAGTAGTAGTAGTAGTAGTAGTAGTAGTAGTAGTAGTAGTAGTAGTAGTAGTAGTACTATAAGCTACTACATAAACAATTGTCGTGAACGGGTTTATAATAAGGACTTTGTTCGCTTATTCATGGTTATTTCAAAGCACTCTATACATTGAGATGACGATTGCAATACTCCTTTATTTAAGGTATTCAGATCCTTCTTCATCCCGGAAAGCCAGTTACGTACAATCCTGTCGAAGAAGGCCATCACACGACAACAGAACAATCTTGGGTTACGTCATGGTCGCAAGCTGTCCGTCATCCTGGCAAAACTCTTCGATCTCTCTTAAGTGTATGTCCAACAATCACTTTACCGATCCTAGCACTGCTCTACCAGTGTTTGACCCAACAGAAAATGTAACATATGCTAACATTTACTGCGCCATATGTCATGAGAAGACAAAGGACCTACACCACTGGAGTCTTAAAATACATAAAAATCTACGGGTGGATGTCTCAGTGCAAGATGTGGCGCTCTCTAATGCATTGTGGGAAGCTCTACCTGGTGGGGATATCATTGCTAACAAATGCATTGTCACACCAGAGGAGGCTTTCAAAGGACCGGATACGAAGAACAAAAGGCTCTGCCGAGAATATGCTAATAGCATTGGCAATGAGGAAGAAGAAGAAAATGGAAATTACAAGAACCCTCATTGTGCTATGCTTTCAAATGAGAACATTTTAGTGAACAGCACAGTAGTTTGCCATAGAGATGGTCGTCTCCCCTCCAGGATGTCTTCCATGATATTTATTTTCTCCAGAAAGGCCAGATTTAATTTAGGTTTCAGAGATTCAGCTGTGCGACTTGAAGTTAGTTGTGCTAACAACGAGATCTACGATCCATTCAAAGGGAGATGTCTGTCAGTCGTCTCCGATGTCACGCATAAGAACACTTCACAGCAATCCGTTTACGTCATTCCTCACCAGAAAGTCTACAACAACGACAGCTTCATTGCAATCAACAAAACTCTAATTCTATGCTCCAATTTTTCTCGTAACTACACCAAAATAGTGAGAAAACCTGGAAACGATCAAAACGCAACCAAAGAACAATCTCTGACACTCATCGTAATCACTTATGTTGGGTTTTCGTTGTCAATTATCTCCCTTATATTTCTTTTGGTAACCTATTTCCTGTTTGGCGAACTGCGGACCTACCCTGGTAAAGCGGTGATACACCTGTCATGCGCAATGATAGTCATGCAGTCCGTGTACTTTGCATCAGACCCGGATGTTGTTTCCTCTATAGCCTGTGCTGTGTTGGGCGGCCTGTTGCATTACTCCATCCTTGCTGTTTTTCTCTGGATGGGTGCAATCGCTCACAACACACAGAAAACCCTTTCAAAGCCAAGTAAGTTTTTCCATTATTTTGTTGTTGTTTTTTTTTTTGTTGGTGTTGTTTACATATACTTTCAAACGGTGACTAAAGACTCGACTGGTAGCAATTTAGTCGGGTTGACTTTGGGGGAGAGGGACGCTTACTATAATAACCTTTACGGGGAGGCTCCGCCCGGGATAAGTGTTTATACCCTTTATCACAATAAAGCTATATGAAGGGGCAGATTTGACTCGAGTTCAAGTGTATTATAAGCTTGCTAGGGTATCTGTCATTTAGGAGTTTAAAAGGCCCTGCAATTAAAACATTTCCAATCGAGTAAAGCAGCGTATTGGCTGTATCCCTTTTATTAACTTAACTCTAAGAGTTAAAAAATAGTTGCAGTGTTCTCAGACGTACCATTTTTCATTTGAAGGTATACTAGTGTTTATATATTAGTGTTTTTGGAGGTGCATTCACAACGGTACACAATGGCTATGACTTTGCATCACCAGTCGAGTCCATCCAGATGTGGTTCGTCTCCATTAAATTCTTTCGGTTATCAATGATCAATGAATACTTTTTTTTTCGAATCCTGGGGTGACTCCCATGTAAAAGTGACGGGGATGTTCGTCGTCTCGCTTAGGGATGTAAATTGCAGATTTCGGTCTCACTTGGGGTGTCTTGGACGGAAAGTTAGTATATTTGTTCATTCGGGTATCGCTTAGGGCTGTGCATAAAGAAATTTACAAAAATGCCGAGATGTCTGTTTTAATATAGTCTTCTTTAGGGGTCAGTTTATGTTTGAGCCACACCTACATTGGTTTCCCTTAGGGCTTTAATTTCAATTTTCCGACTTGCATCCCCGTCACTTTTATAATGGAGTTTCCCTCAGGGATTCGAAAAGGAAAAATATATTAGCTTTCCTAAGACCTTCAGTTGCTGCTATAGAGCCCACGCGAGGGAAAAGGAAGTGCTTTACGAATGTGACTGATATCTCCTTTTTTGTGTATAGATGCGAACCCAACTAATCCTCTGGTGATAGCTCAGCAGAAGAGGTGGTACATTGGCTACAGTGTGATTTGTTGGGGACTTCCTATTGTGGCTGTTGGAGTTTGCATGGCTTTGCAATTGACTGACACCGGAAATGTTGGTTACGGTGAGTTAAAGGCATACCGCATGTTGTCTTAGGGAGAGAGAAAATGCAAGAAATTAGAAAAGGTGGCCAAACCGCCCCCTGCGAGAAGGAGCTTCCTTTTGTCTTCTTCTTGATTGAGAAGGAGAAAATGAGGCTGTTCCTGAATAGCGTCAAGCCTTTGACGTCGTCGCAGCCCAAACCTTTGGACTAGTCAATCTTGTTTTTATTTTTCTCCTCAAACTGGTTTTCTAGTGCAAGAATCGATATATTGATAAACTGATGGTCATAACTGAGCCTGTTGCACCAAGTACACGAATTAGGCCTGAGTTCGAAACTGTATCCTAGCAACTTGCAGTACATGCTCAACAAAGATCTTACTCGATTCATCAGTGCAGAGTATTTTTCGAGTGAGGCCAATTCGAACAAGCGAAAGAAGGGCTCTGCTAGCAGGGTGGCCTAACAAGTAAAGTTGCCCAAAATTAGCCAAGCATTTTGTGGTCTTCCGTGGACAATCCAAAGAATTTTGTCTCACCTTCGCTGAAGCAATTTTTCACGCTCTTTCTTTGCTATCTCTGCAAAGAGTTCACTAGACCATACTGCTGCAGCCAGTAACCTTAGCAGCCCATGTACACTCTCACATATTGCAGGTTCAGATGTCAATAAAGATGGATGTCAGCTGTCTCTGCCTGCACGCATTTACGCCATTGCCATCCCTGTGTCGTCGCTGCTTCTGTTTAACATTGTGGCTTTGATTCGCACAGCTTTTGCTATCAAGCAACACGGACAAGTATGGTTTTGTTTTTAGTCTCCAAACGTTAGTCATAAAAGAAATTCTTCTCTTGGCGAGTTTTTGGAAACGGGAATGGGAAAGATGACCCTAGTTATCCCCCTGGCCTCATATAACCTGTGTCTGAGATCAATTCCCGATCAAATACTAATCCACTTATGTTATATAAACGTTGACAACATATGTCAAACAGCCACGGAGACAGTTTGAATAATACATTGTGACGAAAATTCTTAAAAGACAACGATTTTTTTGTGGAAGAAAAGCCCATTTTAATGACCATAAGAGCACTCCTTTTTATGTTTAGCCTGGAATGCGTTTCCTGATTTTGGCTTGGTTAGTTTTGGAATAGGAGGCCCGGTCGGCCCGCTGGGGGTACCCCCCTACAGGGCTCCGACCAAAACAGGGTACCATTTTCACGCTTCAGATATTTGAAAGCGAAGGAATTTCACTAGGAGTAGGGAAAAGGTAGAGAAATCTGTCATTTCGGACTGTGAAAAGGCCGAGATTAAAGGGCTAACAGATGGATTTTATGACTGTGAAAAGTCGAGAAAACATTCCGTGGCTTTGTGATTTATTCCGATTTGAAAGACAGTGCATTTACAGCATTTAGGTAGCCTATGTGATTTAGGTAGTGAATTCGAAATTTTAAGGCTATTGTAGGACGGTAACTTTAAATATTTCCACCGCGCTAACACACACACACACAAAAAACATTTCCTTATTCCAGGGCAATGCTGCGGCTGTAACTCAAAGAAACTTGCCAATCATTGTACTGAAATTGACAGTTGTCACGGGAATCACATGGCTCCTCGGGTTTGCATTGGCTTTCTATCCAACGCCATATTTGGAATATCCCTACGTCGTCATAAACAGCTACCAAGGTCAGTTTGTTATTAAGGGAGTATGTCACTAGGATATTGCTGTTGTATGTCAAATCTGTAGTGAAATTATTACTTAGTGCCTCTCTATACAAAAAATGTTCCTTTAGAGTTAGGACGAAGACATAAAACAAATTTCAGCAGGGAACACCAACCACGATCATGTTAACAGGCATAGCATTAAAACTTGGCTTATTTTCAAGTTTAGACTCAGTTATTTTGGCTTGGACTACCATGGGAACGTCCGAGCTATAAAATGAGTTCAGTTTTTCCTTCTATCGCAAATCACTCTCTGGCGTTTTCTGCGCTTGCGCCGGATATAAGAGTATGCGTAAAATGCGTAAAATAGGCCAGCGAACTAAAGCAGAGGACATGGCCACTTGCCCCATCTGTCTTCAGTGTGTAAAACTCACTGATTACAAGAATGAATTATCTCATTTCTTATACCAAAAATCTTATACCAAATGCAAACGCTGTTCCTCTCTAGACCTGCAGTAAAAGATGGCGAGCGAAAGGTTCGGTTCAATTTACTGATTTTAAGAAACTCTTCCAATTGATGGCTGCAGAGTGGAGAAGTAGTGTTAATTTGTTAAGAAGTCTTTTTTTTCCTTCTTTCTGAATAGGCTTCCTGATCTGCGCCATCTTTGTCTTTCGAAAGCCTGTCATTAAACTCTTCAAACAGAGATTCACTAATGAAACACACCCTGCACCGACAACGTGCGCTTGTAAACAACCAACGAGCCGAAACCAACAACCGGCGAATACAGCCGAGGAACGAACCAGTGGAGCCAAACAAGCAACGAACAAAGCAGAGGAACAAACAAATGAAGCCGAGAAAACGTGCGCGAGGGGAGCTGGACAACCAGTGGAAGAAGCCGAACAATCTTTGGACGCAGAAGAGCAAGTGATCAGCGGAACTTCGCAAGAAAACTTTGGAGCCGAGCAGGCATAAAACCCATGTAGCTACCATTTTTTTTCTCGATGTTGTTTAAATTTATCCATTTAGTGCAACAATTGTTTGAAGAATTTCGTGTATATCCCTCAAGAATGCCAGGCAGATTCTATTTGTTCACTTGCAAAAAATGCTAACGTCCTTGTTCATCGTAAAGCAAGCCACGAACGATAACTCTAGCTTGACTTTCTTTGCAAAATAATCTTAACTATAACTAAAGAATTCTATTACTACTTGTACCAAGAGAGAATGATGACAGCTTTTCTCATCCTCTTGCTTATACCTGTAGGCAACATATTCCTGGTGAAAACGTATTTTTTCCTGCTATGCCCCCTCGGCCTCTTCTTTGGGGGATGGGTGGAAGGTTTCAGATAACAAGTGATTTACACTCAGGGGATACTCCCCCATATGAACTGTTTGGTTTGTGCTTCGCCCCTTTTGGTCTGAAGCTGTGTGTACATTTTGACCATTTAGGTCTGAAATAGGCTGTGGTTTTTTCCTCTCTGGAACAGGCTTTGATTTCTTGGATATGCTCTTAATTTATTTATTGATTGGGCACCTGTGATATCTGGTACCCCACAGGGAACTATTCTTGGTCCAATTTTATTCCTATCATATATAAATGATATCGTTGATAGTGTCTCTTCAAAAATTAAATTATTTGCGGATGACACAAAGATTTACAGAGAGCTTCGCAACCCTAGTCTCGATGAACAATACCTTCAAACTGATTTGAATAATCTTGGTAAATGGGCGAAAAAATGGCAACTTCGTTTCAATGAGGAAAAGTGTGAAGCAATGCGAATAACGCATTCTCGTGACAAATCGACTACGAATTATAAACTAGGTACGGCCTTAAAAGATGTCAAGAGCTTTAAAGATCTTGGAATTATTATATCAAAAGATCTTACTTGGAGTGAACATATTAGTACTATGGTGAATAAGGCGAACCAAGTCCTAGGGCTAATAAGACGGTCTGTTGGAACAGCTAATACAACAACTTTTTCATTGCTTTACAAAACATTGGTCAGACCACTTCTAGAGTATGCTGCTCTAGTCTGGAACCCATATCTTGTCAAAGATATTCATGCAATAGAGAGCGTGCAAAGACGCGCGTCAAGATTAGCTCTTAGGCAAAAAAGAGGTGATATGTCTTATGAAGAACGTTGTGACACGTTACATTGGCCATCTTTGTCCAGTCGTAGGACATATTCCTCTCTTGTTGAATGTTATAAGATCGTGTTTGGCTTATCACACTTGGATTTTGAGGAATTCTTTCAATTCGCAAAAGTCAAATCCACTAGGGCAAATCACTCGTATAAGCTTTATTGTAAATTATCTAGAATCAACTGTTTTAAATATTCTTTTTTTAACAATGTAATTAGTTATTGGAACAATTTACCTAGTAATGTTGTTGAAGCCGGTACCCTTGAACTTTTTAAATGTAAACTCAAATCCTTTTTAAAGTTGTAATTTTTATTGTTTGTTTGTTGTTTTTAGGAGAGTTTTATTCATAGGGTTAACCTCTAGACTCTCCCTTTCAAATTTATGTAGTTATATATGAGTTTGAATAAACATGTATGTTATGTTATTTACTATTTTTTTTTTACCTTCTCGCCTCTTTGAAAACGGTGTTTCAGGTCTGAGAGAGCGAAAGGGAAATTGCATAGTTCGATGCGAAATGGTGTAGAGATTTGAGGAAACACGCCCCTCGCACCATACTCTCACAGGACCAGAAAGTGAGGAACTAGTCTTCACATTTATCTCTACATCATGGGCAGTGCTTAGGTTACCGTAAATGATCTCGTAGAGTAAATAAAACCGGGCATTTATTTAGTTTTAGGTCTCCAAGAGGGGGCGTTTAATAGATAGGAGACGGCTTTTATTGGAGAAGGGGCGTCTATTAGTTCATTTACAGTTTACGTTGAAGAAGCTTTGGCCCGTTGAAAGGGCTTTCGTTTAGAATTCAGGAAAATAGATGCTAGAAACGCGCGATAAAAAGGTAGCGGAGCCTTTTCACAGCTTAAAGAAGAGTCTTCTCAACCTGCGTAGCAAGAAACAAATCGTGCTTTCTCCTCAGTTTCTGCTGGTTGTTCTTCCTCGACCTAGCTTTTTATCGTTTGAAAGTTAGAACATGGAGCAAGAGGAAAATGCTTAGTTTATCATCGCTATACAATTCCTACTTTGCGCTTCCGCAAAACCGCCCCCACCACCTTTATCGATTCTTTTATTTCCACTTCACATGATGCTAAGTAATAGTATATCATTCTCAAGAGGTACTCTCTTGTATAGACTTTGTTAGCGCACATAGTGCAAAGAGAGTCCAAACATGGTTAACCTAATTCTGGATTCCAGTATTTGTCAGTGGAACTTGGATTCTGGATTGCAATCCTTAGTATGATTCCAGATTCCTCGAGCTTAATTCCATATTCCTCTTTCCATCTTCCTTTTTTTCTTACCTCAGAAACCGGGCTTAAATTTCTCATATGAACCTAAGATGAAATTGGTCCAGTTACGTGGGCCTTCCCGGTCAACTGGGCTCATGTGAAGAGGGCCTTATATTAATTATAAATATCAATATATACCATATTTATATCGACAGTTTTATTACTGTTCATGCCATGCTTATATTACCGTACGATTTAAAGGAGTTAGCATTAAGGTAGCATTAAGAAATAATGTCTTCAATAAAGTGTACTGAATGAAACTTCTGACCTGGCCAAAGAAACGATGTGCCTTAAATCCTCGTGCACACGAATCCCGATAATTTTTCAAACCGTTCACTTTTTACACGAATCGGCATTCTTTACACACGAAACCAATGAATCCGCTCTCCTGAATCGTATCTTTAAGGCTTCGTCTTACCGATTCCAGATAAGAAATATGCGGATTCAGAAATGTCCTGATTTTTGTGGATTGGGCTTTAATCTTCCAATTGGTGACAAACACGAGATAAACAACTAATCAAAACGGCTAGGAATCTCTCTATCTCGAAATCTGCCTCGTCCCCAATCGCTCGTAGTCGCTTATCCGAGGATATAAAAAAATGAACTGGATATGTTTTTTATCTCTTGGCTATCCTGAGAAAAGACTGAGAAATCGCATATTTTGATCTGAGTAAATAGCGATGGTGCTTGGTTTACCGCACACGTTCAAACGTGTCTTGCAACAAATTAGCCTGCGGGAGCATCCGGTTTTTTCGAAGCGACGACCGGAAATACGTCTGCGGTTCGCAGGCTAGCAACAAATCTGGTTGTTGCCAAGGCTGTGTTACTGGATTGCTTTTGGGGCCGATACGGAAAGCTGTTCGATATTAGCCACTTTGAGGTTGCGCGGGATGCTAGGTCGAGATTTTGTCAAAGTGCATTAGGGGACTGTTTTGGGAGACGCATATTTAACATGGCGTCAAATTCTTCCCTTTAAAACAGTCCCATAATGCACTTTCACAACCATCTCGACCCGGTCTCCCGCGCAACCTCAAGTAGCTAGTAAGTATGGACAGTAAGGACACAGAACTGGATCAAGTTGTTCACACACATCGAGCATCGTGCGAGAGCGGTTGGCCGAGAGGATTTGTTTTAGTCCGGGGGGGGGGTACCTAACAAATGGTTATACGGGGAGGCTCCACCCCGAGGTCCATCGTATTCAGTACCCCCTGGGGGGTTGTAGTGTTAATTGTGAAATTCGCCGAAAAAAAAGGCCATGAGGAATTTTTGCATCCAAGTCTTTCAAGGATGCAGAATTTCTGCATCTTTCGTATGTTTTGGAGTTACTCTAATGGATTTCTTCTGCAGCTTCTAGGCCTTTTGATAAAAATAACTCTTTTGAAGTAAAATATGTTTTAGGGAATTTTTGGCTCTGTCCATTACCTTTATTTTTTTATAATTGCAGATTTTCACTGTAAAAGTGTGTTTAGATTAAATATCATGATTTATTTCAACAAATCTGATTTCGTTGTACTATCGGGGTACAGCTCCGATTGTTGTTTTGCTTGCAATACAGAAAGTTTCCGACCGAGATAGATTTTTGGACGGAATTTTAAAGTTCGGGCAAACACATTTTAGTCCGAGGAAGCGTTTTAGA